TTATGTGTTTGTAATCTCTTCCGTATTCCCAAACCCCCTGGTTTTCCTGTCTTACCATTCAGCACACAGTAGAATAAATGTTTTCTTATATGTCTCCCCACTGGACTATGAGATGAAAAAGGGTAGAAGCCATTAACTTTCTCTCTACTCCCAGCAATTGATATAAATAATGCAAACATACAATAAATGCATGTTGAAAGAATGAAAGAATACATAAGCAAATGGATTAATGAATTAATGAATGAATCAGGGGGAGGATCAAGGATATCTGTATACAGCAACTTTGGGATCTCTCTCAGTTGTACTTTTTGGTATTTCCTGTCAGATCAACACATTTTTCATCATCAAATGTCAAATAGTTAGGATCACAGGCTGTAGACTGCCTAGATTAGAAATTTGACTCTTTCACTAGCTAACAGAATGGCTTGGGCTGGCCGGGTGCAATAGCTCACACCTGTAATCCCAACACTTTGGGAAGCTGAGGCACGCAGATCACCTGAGGTCAGGGGTTCAAGCCTTGCCAACAAGGTGAAACCCTGGCTCTACTAAAAATACAAAAATTAGCCAGGTGTGGTGGTGGGTGCCTGTAATCCCAGCTACTCGGGAGGCTGAGTCAGGAGAATCGATTAAACCTTGGAGGTGGAGTTTGCAGTGAGCTGAGATAGTGCCACTGCACTCCAGCCTGGATGACAGAGACAGACTCTGTCTCACAAAACAAAACAAAAGCAAAACAAAAACAAAACAGAATGGCTTAGGCCTTAACTAACCTCTTTGTACCTCAGTTTACTCATCTGTAAAAGAGAAGTAATAAAAATAATACCTATAAAGTTAAAAAAGAAAATGCATACAAATCACTGAAGTTCATGCCAGTGACAAACTAATAGCTCCAAAAATGTGAGTTATTTTTATTCTAAAAATTATTACATCAATCTCCACCCCAACACTACACAGGATCTTGTAATATTCTCTTGAGTGCTACTATTTAAAGACAGTACTTCCTAATCTGCTGCTGCACGTGACATGCCGCCTGGGCAGGGGAGTGACAAAGAACATAGAATGCAGAGACCATTCAGCATTGAATATCAGCTGATGCCTGTGGTTAATGAAGGGAAGGAAGATGAACAATGGGCAGAAAGGAGGCTGCAGGGAATAAAAGTTGTAGATGCTTCTTGGTTTGGAAACATAAAGTTTATTTTTGGGTTGTACTTCCAGTCCTTTTACTTAAAACAAACAAAGAAAACCACCATGTCAGCTGTGTTTACAAATAAGAACTTGCTCTGGCTTTTACAAGACACAGGGAATCCAGTCTTCTTCCTTCTGGTTACTATATTACAGATAGGCACATGATGTGCTGGAAGAAAAAGAAAAACTGATCTGGAAATCAGGAGGCTCCAGCCCTGTATTAATCTTAGTCTGGGCTCTGTTGTTTTGAATAAGTTGCTTCCTTCCTTTGGATCTCAGTTTCCTCTTTCTCAAAATGAGAAGTTTGAGCCAGATAATATCATTTTCACTGTGCAACAAATACTTACTGAGTACTTATTGTGTGTAAGGCATTGCGCTAGACATTATGGATAGAGCAGGCAACCAGATAGCTCTGATCCCTGACCTCATGGAGTTTAGAGCCTACTGGGACAACACCAGTGCTCATGGGAGACTGGAAGAGGAAGACAAAACTACTATGGAACTTATGGAACCAGTTGGAGGTTAACAAGGGAGTTGGCTGGGTAAAGAAAGTTGATGAGGAAGGTTCCAGACTGAAGGAAATGCATATTTGAAGGCCCTAAATAAAGAAATATTATGTATTTAAAGGACCTACAGACGTCCAAGATGACTGGATAGAATAAAGGGAAAGCATATAGGAGATGGAGCTATAGATGAAGGCAGGAGTCAGATTTTAGATGGCCCTGTACATCATGTCAAAGTGTTTTGAGTTATGCCAAAGTCAAGGAGAAGCCACTGGAGAGTTTTAAGCAAGAGTGAGCTTATTCATGTTTGTTAAAGATCATTTTGGTTCATTTGTAGAGAACAGAGAATGGTAAAAGTGGAGGAAGGAAACCATTCAAGAGTTCCTTGGAGCAGTCCAGGTGAGATATAAGGGTGGCCTGGACTAGGCTGGTGATGGTAGAATTAAAGCAAAGTGGAAGAATTCAAGAGACATTGGATGTAATTTAGAAAGAAACCGTAAGAGACTGATGTGGAGCAGAAAGACAGAGTGGGCTCAGAATGTCCTTGAGGTTCTGCCAAGAGTGAGTAAGGACACATTGTGCCATTTGTTGATAAGGCTACATATGGGAACAGTGCCAATTTTGCAGGCAGAGGTAGAGACGGTGGGTTCAGATTTTAACATGTTTAGATTGAGATCGTTGTGAGCCATTTAAGTGAAGAGGTTATATAGACATATGTAGATCTGCTGGCATATAAATAGTAAATGAATCCGTGTAAGTGAATGAGCAACGTTATGGGTCAGCACTAATGACTGAGGCAGCATGACTTTGGTGGAGTTTCTGTACTGGAAGGGAGATCTACCTTGGTTAAGGAGGCAGGGGTGGTGGTGAGAAAAATCATGAGAGATACCTTTTAAAGCAGTCTTGACTGTGAGAGGCAATAACTAGGGGAGCTAATAGTCAGAAGAAGGGATTTTACTTTATTTTTTGAGACAGGGTTTTATTCTGTCACCCTGGCTGGAATGCAGTGGCATGATCATAGCTAACTGAGGCTTGAACTTCTGGGCTAAAGTGATTTTCTTGCCTTAGCATCCCAAGCAGCTGGAACTACAGGTGTGCATGACAACACCTGGCTGTTTTTTACTCAAGCTGGTCTTGAATTTCTGGCCTCAAACGATCTTCCTGCTTTGGCCTCTGTATTAGTTTGTTCTCACACTGCTATAAAAAAATACCCGAGACTGGGTAATTTATAAAGAAAAGAGGTTTAATTGGTCCATGGTTCTGCAGGCTATACAGGAAGCACAGTGGCTTCTGCTGAAGGCAAGCACGTCTTACATGGCTGGAGCAGGAGGAAGTGGAGGGAGGTGCGACACACCTTTAAACAACCAGATCTCCTGAGAACTCACATGTAATACCAAGGGGGGATGGTGCTAAACCATTCATGAGAGCTCACCCCCCAAATCCAATCACCTCCCACCAGGGCCCTCCTCACTGGGGATTACAATTCAACATGAGATTTGGGCAGGGACACAGATCCAAACCATATCAACCTCCCAAATTCCTGGGATTACAGGTGTGAACCACTGTGCCTAGCCAGGGATTTTATTTTTAAGATAAAAGGTTTATAGCAGCACTGTCCAAAGGAAATAATGTGAGTCGCACAAGTAATTTCAAATTTTCTGGGACCCACTTAAAAGAAGTAAAAGTGAACTGGTGAATTTAATTTTAGTATCTTTTTATTTAACCTATTATACCCCAAATATTATCATTTCAAGTAATCAATACAAAAATTATTCATGGATATTTTACATTCTTTTATTCATATAAAATGTTTGAAATCTGGTGGATATGTTACATATTACAATTTGGACTAGCCACATCTCAAGGGTTCAATAAATACATTTAACTAATGGCTAATGTATTGGATAGCACAGGTTGACAGCATGTTTAAATGTTGATGAGAGGGAGATAGTATTGAAGGAGAAGCTAAATAAACAAGAATGAGAATGGATAATGAATTAAGTGGATTGTTAGAGGCAGTGGGAGATGAAAGGGTCTCTGATAATAAGTGGGCCATCTCTTTCATTGTAACAAATGTGAAGGAGAAAAAGCTGTGTTTGGATATAAGCAGTGGTGTGCTGATAAATATTCAATACTAGCTGTACGAAAAAACAGAAAGCCCTAATTTTATCAATTGCCAATTCCTGTGTTGTAAATAATTCCATCTTGGCCAATTTCAAGCTGTGAATGTGATGGAATGGATGTGAAGCTGGGAAGAGATGTGCACAATCTGCTCTTGTGAGCAGGGCCGAGCTAGCCCCCAGCTCACTACTGGATCTAAGAAAGTTGGAGGATTTAATGGCAGGTGTCTTTCTAATGGCTTTTCTCTTAGAAGTACTTGGTGGCTGAGAATAAATAGGAGGTAATCTCTCTGAACACGAGAGGAAAGATGGGGATGGGAATTGGCACTGTTTGATAATAGTCATTGCAGAAAATGGGAAATTGAGCTGACATGATACATTTATTTAAGTTCTTATTAGGAAACAGATGGAAACTCACACTGAGTAACTGAAGTACACTTCAGAAAGGGTTCCTTTAAAAAGTTTAGGAAAAGAAACCAGTACCTAATGACAGGCAACAGTGGGGAGCCATTACAATCTCTTAGCCTGAAGGAGCACAGGGAGAGAGGAGTGGTTCCCATCATGTAGAAAATTGTAGGGAAAGGGCCACACACAGGAACTGTGGTCCACTCTAGAAGTCTGGTAGATGGAGGCAGCTAACCTGCAGCAATGCAGCAAGGGGAGTGCTGGGGGAATAAACACCTTCATTATCCTCCAGACTCCTGCTGAAGCCTCCCATTGGCCAAACCCAACTAGAAACCAAGGCTAAGAGAGACTGGTAACAAGAAGTATAGAGTGGTAGAAGCCTGCCTTATGTTTGCATGGCTTTGATTTATAGTGTTCACAAAGCTGAATTCATCTTGGATTGGGCTTTGGTAAACAACAATGGGGGAAAAATAAAACAGCCATGTAGAGATTGACCATATAGAAAAAGAGAAGATTGGTAAGAGGAAAGTGAAAAAAAAATTCTCAAAACAGCCCTTCCGCATACATTTTAGTGAGAAGGAAACTAAAACTCCTTGGGCTTGCCCAAGAGAGCAAGTTTAGTTAGTGGTACAGTTCTGTTTAGCTGGAAAGCACTTTCCACCTTACCCTCCCACCAGCAAGCAATTAATGGTTTGGTTGAAACCATTCTCCCCACACCCCTGTACCCCTCACCACCTAGTTTCTGTGTCTGGAAGAGTAAAACTCAAAAGAAGAAAATTTCTGGTCAGACGCGGGCTGGCATGGGAGAGGTTTCCTCGTTCTGGAACCTCATAGAAAATTCTCAGGGAGATTCTTCAAGCAACCACTATGTCAACAGACCCAGATATTTCCCTTTCTTCATATGATGAAGATCAGGGATCCAAACTTATTCGAAAAGCTAAAGAAGCACAATTTGTACCCATTGGAATGGCAGGTTTTGCAGCAATTGTTGCCTATGGGTTATGCAAATTGAAGAGCAGGGGAAATACTAAAATGTCTGTTCATCTGATCCACATGCGTGTGGCAGCCCAGGGCTTTGTTGCAGGAGCAGTGACTGTTGGTACCGGCTATTCCATGTATTGGGAATACTGGGCAAAACCTAAGCCTTAGAAGAAGAGATGCTGTCTTGGTCTTGTTGGAGGAGCCTGCTTTAGTTAGACATCTCTTTATTGAAGTTACATATTGTTGAAAATAAACTAATTTGTATGGGTTTAGATGGTTAAAAAAAAAAAGAAGAAGAAAATTTCTTTGAATGAACGTTTTTACATACGGCCAGATAGGCGAGATGAAGCTGTGTTTGGTAGTCTGGGCAGAAAAATGTTTGCTAGTTTATTTGCAGAAGCCAAACTTATCTCTACCAAGTAATTAAAAAATAATCTGTCAGGTTAGAGGCAAGGACAGAATGAGATACATTCTGAAACTTTATTAGAATTTTCTACCTCCAATATATAAACTCACGAATACCAAAAAGCAAATACTCACAAGAACTGTCTTCATTACTGGTGCTCATGGCAAATGTTCAAGGTAAGAGGTGGATAAGGAACGTGCAAGGGTGTCTTTTGTGAAATAAAAGTGAAGTCAAGTTTTGAGGAATGCTCTGTTCCCCAATCCATGTCTGTTCTGGTAGTATCTGACCAGGTGACCTTCTTACTTAGGTCCAGTGGTTTGAGCAGGAAGGGCAGAGAGAATGTGCTTGGCTTCCCCTGTGTCTGGTACTTAGGTATAACCCATTGCTCTTCCCAGGGGCTCAGCACATAGTCAGTGCTTAGGAATCATGGGGTAAATGGAATCTTCCAGGGATCATGTGTTCTGTATCAAATATTAAATGGCCTAATAACAGGATAGAAGATTGGAAATCAGAGCAAAGCTGGGAATGGAGCAAAGAAGCACTTGCCACAGCTAGGATGGCAATCCTGTGCTGTGACCTTGGGGCCTAATCTCTCTTAACCCATTTATGAAATTCCCTCATTTATAAAATTCGGCCAATACCTAATGGGTAATTGTGAGGATTGTACGAGGTCAAGCATACAAAGCTCTGAGCACATGTGAGTGTTCAGCAAAAGTGGATTCATACCACATTCTTTCTGCTCTCTCATCCTAGCACTTTGATTTAACCATTTCTTTCATTTCTCAGGATAACCAGTTTCTCCTGACATGGGATTCCATTCACAGAAGATAGCAGTGGTTTTCCTAGAGCTTCCCAATCATGATTATTCGGGTTTCATTTTGTTTTATTTGGTCACTTTAGGGCCTTGGTGACTCCAGGTGGCCATTCTGGAGAAACCACAGCACTTTGGATCATCATGGTTTTTCCCCCCATCTTTGAGTAAACACCAAAAGCTTTCTTTACCTTTTATTCCGAAACTCATTTGCCATCTGGTGCCTGGTTTGGCTGCATCTGTGTTTACTTAATGACTTTAGGCGAAGGCCGAGTTTACATACGGGAAGAATAAGAGGCTTTGGTGATTCCTTCCATATGTTCATTTGTTCATATATTATGATTTTTGTAATCTCACCAGCATAGATCTCTTCAGACAATCCTTACCCTGTTCCCTGGAGACCTACTTCTTTGTGTTTGAAGCTGGGAGTTTCCATGAGAACTTTTTTTTCAATGCCTATTACCTTTAGTACAGCTCAGTGAGGCTTTTAGATGGGCACAAAATTAATGTTCTTGAAGTTTCGTCTTTTTGAAAAGGAAGGCTTATTTGACTTGGGTGCTTCTGAGGACTCAGGAGACCTGGTTTCTAGGCTCTTCTTTTCATTTGTAAATTGTATGAATTCAGACAAGTTTTCTAACCACTCTGGTCCTCAGTTTGCTCTTGCCCCCACGATTCAATTACCACCCACGGGGTCCCTCCCACAACATGGGGAATTCAAGATGAGATTTGGTTGGGGACACAGCAAAACCATATCATTCTGCCCCTGGCCCCTGCCAAATCACATGTCCTCACATCCCAAAATTAATCATGCCCTCCCAACAGTCCCCCAAAATCTTAACTCATTTTAGCATTAACTCAAAAGTCCAAAGTCCAATGTCAACTCTGAGACAAGGCAAGTCCTTTCGGCCTATAAGTCTGTAAAATCAAAAGCAAGCTAGTTACTTCCTAGATATAATATGAGTACAAGCATTGGGTAAATATATCCATTCCAAATGGGAGAAATTGGCCAAAACAAAGGGGCTACAGGCCCCATGCTAGTCCAAAATCCAGCGGGGCAGTCAAACCTTAAAGCAAAATGATCTCCTTTGACTCCATGTCTCATATACAGGTCACACTGATGCAAGAGGTGAGTTCCCATGGCCTTGAGCAGCTCTGCCCTGTGGCTTTGCAGGGTACAACCTCCCTCCCAGCTGCTTTCATGGGCTGGTGTTGAGTGTCTGCAGTTTTTCTAAGCACATAATGCAAGCTGTCAGTGAATCTACCATTTTGGGGTCTAGAGGTCAGTGACCCTCTTCTCACAGCTCCACTAGGTGGTGCCCCAGTAGGGACTCTGTGTGAGGGCTTTAACCCCACATTTCCCTTCCACACTGCCCTAGCAGAGGTTCTCCATAAGAGCCATGCCCCTGCAGCAAACTTCTGCCTGGACATCCAGGTGTTTCCATACATCCTCTGAAATTTAGGCAGAAGTTCGTAAGCCCTAGTTCTTGACTTCTGTGCACTTGCCAGCTCAATACCATGTGAAAGCTGCCAAGGTTTGAGGCTTGCACCCTCTGACGCCATGGACTGAGTTCTATGTTGGCCCCTTTCAGCCATAGTTGGAGCAGCTGCGACTCAGAGCACCAAGTCCCAAGGTTGCGCATAGCAAGGGGACCCTGGGCCCTACCTATGAAACCAACTTTTCCTCTTAGACCTCTAGGCCTGTGATGGGAGGGGATGCCATGAAGACATCTGACATGGCCTGCGGACATTTTCCCCATTGTCTTGGGGATTAATATTTGGCTCCTTGTTACTTATGCAAATTTCTGCAGACTGCTTGAATTTCTCCTCAGCAAACAGGATTTTATTTTCTATTGCATTGTCAGGTTGCAAATTTTGCAAACTTTTATGCTCTGCTTTCCTTATAAAACTGAATGGCTTTAACAGCAACCAAGTCACCTCTTGAATGTTTTGCTGCTTAGAAATTTCTCCCACCAGATACCCTAAATCATCTCTCTCAGATTCAAAGTTCCACAAATCTCTAGGGAAGGGGCAAAATGCCACCAATCTCTTTGCTAAAATGTAACAAGAGTCACCTTTGCTCCAGTTCCCAAGGAGTTCCTCATTTCCATCTGAGACTACCTCAGCCTGGACTCTATTGTTCATATCATTATCAGCATTTTGGGCAAAGCCATTCCACAAGTCTCTAGAGTTCTGAACTTTCCCGCATTTTCCTGTCTTCTGAGCCCTCCAAACTGTTCCAACCTCGGCCTGTTACCCAGTTTCAAAGCTGCTTCCACATTTTTGGGTATCTTTTCAGCAGTGTCCCACTCCTGGTACCAATTTACTGTATTAGTCCATTTTCATGCTGCCGATAAAGGCATACCTGAAACTGGGCAATTTACAAAAGAAAGAGGTTTAATTGGACTCATAGTTCCACATGGCTGGGAGGCCTCACAATCATGGCAGAAGGCAAGAAGGAGCAAGTCACCCCTTACATGGATGGCAGCAGGCAAAAAAAGAGAAAGTGTGTGTGCAGGGAAACTCTCCCTTATAATACCATCAGATCTTGTGAGACTTAGTCACTTTCCTGAGAACAGCATGGGAAAGACCTGCCCCATGGTTCAGTTACCTCCCACTGGGTTTCTCCCACAACATGGGGGAATTCAAGATGAGATCTGGGTGGGGACACAGCCAGGTCCCAGGGTGTGTGCTTGCCCTTTTCCCAGGTCCTGAGCATAGTATATTTAGAGGAAAAAAATATATAAGAAAGGAATTCCATCACCTGCATAATGCATAAATAAAAGAAACTGATATTTAAAATGTCATTTTGATTTCTTTTTCCATAGTACGGTTGAGATGCTCTTAGCCTGGAGACAGACACCTGGTTTTGAAACCTGCCTCTAATATTACCTGCTTGTGGTCCTGAGTAGTTTTCTTAAGCTCTGCCTTTTTTTCTAAATAGATAAAACAGAAGTCATAGCTGCCTTGTAGAGATAGTGGATTGATAAATAATCACTAATTCTTAGCTTGGTGCTTTGCAAAAAGCAGATGTCACAAATGTTGGTTACCTCTGTTTGCAGTGGATTCAATTATGAAAACGACACAGGTCTGAGAATGCTTTCATAGGAGTAAACCAAAAAATACTCAGAGAAGATCACAATATTACTCAGTGTCAAGCCGAGGACTAGAACTCAGGCCTCCTGACTCCCAGGCCATAGATCTTCCTCAAGAGCTAAAGAGGGTGGAGAAAAATGGAAGGCTGGATGGGGTTCACTGGGGTACAAGATGTTAACTAAAGGAGGAAGGTAACCTAAACCCCTTACCTCAGAGGGCTTGTCAGTGGAACAGAGATTCTCAAGGAGGCCAGAACATGTGTGCAGTGAGTGGGTGGGATTAGCAACAAGGAGAGTAAGGGCTTTTGGGTGTGTAAGTGTGTGTGAATGTCCTCAAATCACTGTGAGAGGTCTTCTCATTCCTCTCTCTGCCCTGTCCGCCACCACCTGGTCTTTGTGTCTTGGAGAGTGAAATTCAGAAGAACAAAATTTCTTTTAAGGTTTTGGACATGACCAGATAGATGAGGCAATGCTGTGTTTAATAGCCTGGGCAGGAAATCTTTTCTACTTTATTTGCAGAAGTCAAACTTATCTCTGTCAGATAATTAAAAAATAATCTATCATATTAGAGACAAGGGCAGAGTGTAAAAGGATCTTGTTCATAGCCTCTGGGTGCCTTGGCCCTCAGGCCTTCTCTGCTCAGAAGCAGGAGGAAGAGTAGCACTGCAGAGGTGGGCCTACAACCAGCTCTCCGGGCCTTAACTCTGTGGGAGGGCGGTCCCTGTCAGAGTCTGAGGGATGAGGGCCCTCTCCTCCCACAAGGGCCACTTCAGGGCACTGAGAGGGCAGAGGAGGATCTCAGCATTCCTCAATCACCTAGGTTGGGCCGAATGGTATGTATGTCTCTGTCTATATGCATTCATGCTTCATGCATGTCATAGCTTAGTTGAGACTGAAAGGGTACACAGGTATTAATGGCTGAAGGAGGGAGAAGCATGTATCTAGAAGAGGAGAGGGCCACATGGAAAG